AGCTGATCTTGAACTTGCGATGATCCTCCTGCCTCAGCCTCCCAAGTTCTGGGATTACAGATGTGTGCCACCACACACAACCACAAATTGTCTTTCTTTCTTTCTTTCTTTCTTTCTTTCTTTCTTTCTTTCTTTCTTTCTTTCTTTCTTTCTTCTTTCTTTTTTTCTTTTGCAGAACCAGGGACAAATTGTGTGGCTTTTTTGTTTGTTTGATTTTTCCATAATTTTATTGAGAGACAAATAGCAATGAGACAGTTTCAAATCAAATTGGTAGGACAGTTTCAATACAAATTGTGTTTCTATTGAATATATACAGATTTTTTTTTTTTTTGGCGGAACCAGAGATTGAACTCAGGTCCTTGTGCTTGCCAGGGAAGCGCTTATTCCACTGAGCCATCTCCCCAGCCCCACATTTTTTTTTTCTTGCCAGTATTCCCTAAACAATATGGTACAACAACTATTCACATAGCAGTTATACTGTATCAATTGCTGTAAGAAATCTAGAGATGATTTAGAGTACACAGGATGATTGTGCATAGCTTCTAGCCAAACACTAGGCCAACTGAGGATGTGTAGATTTTGCTATCCAGGGGAGAATGAACTCTATAGGAACTAAGGGCTGATTGGATATTTGGTTCCTTGGCTTAAGGATGTGAAGTGAGTGGGTGGTGTTTTCTGGACAGGGATCACTGTGTGCACCACTGTGGGGTTATCTTATAGAAAGTGCTTCCTTACAGTGTCATGACTGTACCCCAAATCCCAATCACCCTCTGCACAGCCTTCTGGAGAGCTCCCATCTGCCCACGGGGTCTCCCAGGCTTAATGAGACACATGGATGTGCTCTTCAAAGCCACCTCCACTGTTGTGAGAACAGGGATTACATTCAGCCCTTGGGCAGTCCCTTTGAGGATGGAATTAGGGTGAAAGCAGGCAGTAATAGGCACAAGCTCATAGGATCCTTCAATAATTAAGTATCTGATGAGCTGGGAAGGCCCATATTCTGTAAGCAATGTGGGTGCTGTTGGCAGAAAGCATGTATAGAATGAGATTGTAACCAGCAAAGTGTAAGCCTACTAAATTGCTTCACATTCTTATTTCTCAGGTTTCTAAATTTAGCCACAAAATCTCTTAAGGGAATCCACCTGCAATTCACTGATTGGTGGATCCCTATCCCCAGATTGGGATGCTGTTTGGAGCCCAGAGAGAATTGGTTAGAATCTCCAGCCTTGCCAATGAAGAGATCCTGATTCATGCATGACCCTCAGTGTCTATTTAAAAAATATCCTACAGAACTGGTATGATGGTGCATGCCTATAATCCCAGGACTCAGGAGGCTGGAATAGAAATCACCACAAGCTAAGGCAAATATGGGTTACAACAGTGAGTTGAAGATCAGCCTGAACTTGAACTCTTACATAGCAAGACCTTGTCTCAAATAAAGACCAAAAAAAACCCTCCAAAACATCAGAACAAGAAAACAAAAGAAAAATTACAGCTTGCTAATACTGTTAGAAAGCTGGTGTGGTGGTGCATCCCTCTAATCCCAGCACTTGAGAGGCTGAGGCAGGAGGATTGTTGGGAGTTCAAGACCAGTCTGGGCTACAAAGTGAGCTCAAGGCAGCCTGAACTGTAAGGCTGAACTTACTTTTTGAGACCCTATCTC